GGGGGGGGCTACTTGTAGTGAGCTGCAGAAAGGGCCTCCATGGGTGGATGGATTTGTGTTACAGCACCACTCAGCAGCACCAGAAGCGACATTGTTCAGCTGTTTGCTTTCAAAATGTGTTTTCAGCTCAGGTATCTCACTAGTCGAGGTAAAATCTGGAGCAGCAGAGCGTTGTTTGAAACTCACAGCAACTTAAAAACAAAAACAAGATCCTGGCACGCTCTTTAAAAGCAAATTCCCCTTGTTTTGCATGCGACAACACTCATCAATTACATACACTGTGAGCGCATCTTGTCTCAATCATTGGTTACTCAAACACAGTAATTGTTCTCCCAGGAAGTAACAGGAAAGGGTAACACATAGCTCAATAACACTTCCCCTCTAATGTGCTTCGCTCCACTGATTATCCCCCATGATGACACTATTACTCTTCTCCCCTGGCAAAACTGATAGACAACAAATTGACTGCATAAACTAAACCTCAACCCACCGATACGCACATAAACTGGTGCTTTTCAACCTGTTTTCCAAGGTGTTCTCTGGAGGTTTGTTCTCCAGTGGGTAAATAAGCCAAAAAAGCTCTGTCGCCATTTCTCAGTGAATCCTCTGCACTGCAGCACTTTTCTGCCCAAGATGAATCTTTTAGCTTCAAGCAATTGGGGCTACAAGAAGAGGGGCCTAATGCACTTTTCATCTTATACACTGCACTCTACATTTAAGCAATCCAAAGTCTAAAGAACCTCCTGCATGATTCACTCAAAGTGCTTTTTGGAACAACAGATAGTGTCAGAAAGGTCCTTTTCAGTGGTTGAATTAGGGGGAGGTCTATGTAAGTGTGTGCTTTTTCGGATAAAAAAAACACAAGCTTAGATTTGAGATGGTCATGTCATGTCCTCAGTTTATTCTATAAAGAGAGGACCAATTTCTAATAGTATTAACAAAGCTGTATATTAAAGAAATATTCCTAGTTTCATTTCAGTTCATCATGTTTTTACTCATGAGTGCAGTGTTGGAAACCCTATTATACAGTAATGTATTGCTCTCAGCCATGGACTGTACTCAAAGATTGACGACATGATGACTCCCCAAAGGTGAAGCTCCTTGTGTTGGCCTTAAACCATGGCTCTTCCATGTTAGCAGTTTGGACATGTACCAAAATAAAAAGTCAAAGTTTACATCTTATACTTTTTTTTGTTTCTCTTATTTTCTTGGGAGTAGTTCCTGGGGAACGGTCCAAGTGCTCATTTGGTTTGGTTTTATTGTTGGTACACAAACACTGGCTTAGTTCTATTTTTTTCACACATCTTGATTTATGATAGCTATGAAAAGGATTTCAACAAGTAAGATAAACAACTTACCAACACTACCTTTATCTAGTCATCTGATGCTATAAAATCTGAGTGAAACGTCATTATTGACAGACAGGAGCATGTGTATCGACAGCACCGCAATGCCGTGGCTTCACCCCCCGATCACTACTGAGCAGACTCCACGTGTGGTGGATATGATTCATGAAGGCACACTGTCATTATGAGTTCTCTCAGCTGACACTGCATATCAGAGCAAGAAACCAAGATACAAGGATCTGAGAAAGTGCCTGCAGAGCTAAAAGACAGGATTGTGTTGAGGTACAGTTCTTAGGAAGGTTTCTGCTGCACTGAAGGTTCCCAAGTGCACACGTAATCATTCAAAGTCAGGAGGAACCACACATCAAGCCTAGAATTGGTTGTGTCTTTTAAGATACCGTGGATTCCACTCAAGTTGTAGAAACATCTCAGACATGATCGAGAGAAATACGAGGCAGCTGAGCAAAATTTCAAGATTACTTATGTGACATTTAGTTTTCTTTTTTTGGTAAATATCTAAAATTAAGTTTTTAGTTTCGTCATTATCAGGTTCAGAGTGTAGATTGATGAGGGATTCTTGCATAAGGCTGCAACCTCAGAAAATGTCAAGACAGTGCTGGGGACTGAAAGCAGCACTCAGTTTAAAGATGACCTTGTAAATCCTGATCCCGCCAATTACAGTGTCACCAGGCACAATACCAGACCTATTTGAATCGCTGAACATATCTGAATGGTGGCCGTAGATTCCTTTACATGGAACTACATATGTACATCTGACCCTGACATGACATGCCCAACACTGAGCTCACAGGAAGAGATTGAAAATGTAATTGCAAAGCTTGTTCACAATAAAGTACTCTCCCTGTGTTGATAACACTGAGATGACAAGTTCCATTCAAAGCCATACGCAATGTCCACATATTACTAAACAGAAAATACTGCTGGCAGGATCAATTCATTGTAGGTTGTAGCCTTCAACTGGATTAATAATAATACAGGATAAAATAATAATCTGCATAAAAACATGATGAGGAGTTGATACAATTCTCTTCCCAGACTGTACCTGCTGATGCCATTCTCCTCCTTAATAGTTCTTCAGCCTCTTTTCCACATTGTTCAGCAGCAGTCGTTCTATAAATGCATTTGTGCCTTTAGTCACCAAAATTGCAACGACTATTGGGCGAGAGCCAAGTGCACTAGATGTTGGGAGTTTGTATCAGTGACTGCGCTGGTGCACTGTTAAGGAAAGCAGAGGCCAATGTATCATCTTGGTTACAGAGAACACCTTGAATGAGTTTCAAGATAACCTTCCAAGGATGAAACACAGAGTCTCTCTTTCTCTTGGTTCCTTCCTTCCTTCCTTCCTTTCACATGAAGACATGCATTTAGACGGTGTTGTTTGGTTTTTCTTTAACCTTCCCAAGATAAAATGTTCCTGTCTGAACTATGGTGTTAGTGTTGAGTTAATCTCTAACTCTGATTTATCGGTAAGCCACACATGATGCTAAAAGCTGGGATTTGAATCACCCAGTATATTTGCTAGTGGACATGTAATCAGCAATTTGTTTATCATATATAGTGCTAATTTATAAATGTAAAGACATGGTGTGAATAAATTCTGTTTTTCACTGACTGGGAGAAAGCCTTCTGTAAAGTGCCACCTGGAGATACCACCCACATTCAAATTTATGTCTGCTAAATTTGTGACTAGCTATTAACAAAACCGTTGCACACATTAGGAGGGCTGATATCTGATTGACTCATTCGCTAATTGGGGGTGATTTCCTGTTCTCACTGAGGAAAACCTTGGAACAGAGGCTTCTCGTGATCACCACCAAACTAAAGATTATGATTATCTATTGATTACACTGATTGCTGTGATGTTGTTTCATTTCAAGGAAGACTGCAAGTGAGTGAAGTCCTCTATGGTCACCTGCGTTCTCCCCCATATGCCATACTTTCACAACGATTTCACGCCCCGATGAGTTGCTCGTTCTATTGAAAAGCAATGTGTGTCCCCTGCAATTTATTATTAGCTTCCATTTTACTGAACAAACAAGTACAAAAAGGCTCTTCACACGCGTGTCATTGTATGATAGGCCTTTTTCACTGCAGACATTTTGACACATCACAGTAGGAAAAGCACAGGTGTCAACAATGAAATCAATAATGGCTGAGTTCCATTTAACTGCTTGAGTTTCAGGTTCCTGTCACACAGTCATGACTTACCTGAACACTTGAATAGAACAGAGCCATCACTGATGTCATCAGTAACATGTATTATTAACAGGGACTCAGTTTAAAGCCATGTTTATACTCGTGCAAGTAGATGACGTGCAAACTACAAGCATGCAAATAGGTGTATATGGTCAACTCATAGCGCATTACAATGGAGGAAAGTAGGGTGCGTAGCTGTAATGGAAATCTTGTCGCTTCACCTGGAAGTCAAAACAGTCTCTCGGAGCTTGATGAACTGGAACAGCCATCCCACTTTGTTTCTCCCTGGGTTGCCACTCTATCGAGAAAACATTTTTTTCTGACGTGAACGACCAAGCGCTACAGGTTTTCGAGCCCTCACGCTCCACACAAGAAACGTCATGACATCATTTCTGGCGGCTGCATCCTCGCACTGGCAACACTACATCAACTATATATATATATATATATATACACTCATTATCTACTCACCATGCCTATGGAGGGGTGGGTGAAGTGTTTGAGTCCACAAAGCACTTTTNGTGTTGCAGCCAAATCCAATAGAATTGAAGGAAAAGGTGACCACGTCTTTAAATGTAAGAAAACTAAAATGCCTCCAGGCTGCTCCTGTGGTGTCATCCAAGTGTCTGTAAGCCCCAACATTCAAATGCGACTGTAAATCTGAGGACATTTAGGCTAAAAACACAGTGTATATTATCCTTTTCAAGTCAAATTTGAATGTCGGGGCTTACAGACACTTGGATGACACCATAGGATCAGAATGGAGGCATTTTCTGTTTTTTCAGGGGTTTTTTACGTTTGAAAAATCGGTCACCATTTGCTTCAATTGTATCACATTTGGC